CCTAAACCCTAAACCCTATTAGTAAGTCGGTGACGCCAAGCACTGCAGGCAGTGCCGTTTCCACGCCTGAGCTGCAGAGAACATGTGGGGGTTTCCCAAAATCAGGGGTACCTTTAAAAGGGGGTTATAGGGGATATATAGGGGTTATATGGAGATTATATAAGGGATTTATAGGGCTTAGGTTTCCCAAAATTAGGGGTACCTTTTTGGGGGTCCCTATGATAAGGATTATAGTATATTAGGGTCTATATTGGGGTCCCCCTATTTTCGGAAACTACCATGTTCATACGTCTCTGATAGCTCTGTGCTGTAAGCATGGGAGCGGCGCAGCAGAAATGCACAAGTCCCTTTTGACGTACAATCCTGCTAGGACATGAAGTCTCAGCAGTTCTAAGCTTCCAGCCAGGGATGTGCTTTTGCAATTCTTTGCAAACGAGGTCCGGGTCTTCAGGGTCAACGCAAACCCCTGGCTAGATATGGTACGGCATTGGGAGGCCAGCTCCATCTTGGACTGCCTCCAAGCTCTGCGGCCAAGATCGTTCAGCGAGTGAAGCGGATATCGCAAATTTGCTCGGGCTGCTGAGCGGTCTTTGCAGTTCCAATGTCTATAGACGGCGGCTATGCGTGGCTGCTTGTCTGCCTTTGGCAGGACTATGAGAAAACTGCAGCACAGGCAGGGTCGCCTTCGAACAGGCGGAGTCAAATCCAGGTAACATCCACTGTCTGTAGGCAGAGCTTGAGAGCCAAATTGTAGCTAGATAGTGTACTTGCCACTCACAAGACGTTGATGTGGCCCAAAACTCGTCCGCCTGTACCTGAGATTAGCCGAGTATCTAGAAGAGTTTAAAAATTTCCGAAGGTGAGCAGTGTCAGGGCGTCAGCCCTTCGGGCGTCTGCAAGTCTGACATCTGCCCAGATCGCTAAACAGCATTTCCCCAAAGTCCTTGCGCGCTCAAGTGTGCCGCGCAAGGCACCCGCCCACTATCAAATGAGTATGTGCCAAAATCAGGATCCCAACATTTATGATCGGCCCAGCAAAAAAAGAATCCACCAAATTCGGGGGCTGAGCAACCATTAAGGGGTATCCAAATCTTGGCGAAAACTCAGCTTGCTGGTTCTTAGTAGGAGAATATATCATACGGGTACTATATAGGGATTATATTTCCTTATTCCCTACTAAGTGAGTGTTGCTACGGAAGCGCTCCGCAGGCAACTACTTGGAGGGTCAGGTGGACTCAGCAAGTAGGTGAATAACGCCTTTCAGCCAATATAGTATGCAACCTAAGTTTTCCGCATTCTTAACCTACTTACCTAAACCCTAAACTAAGACCCAATGACCCTCCAAGTAAGGGTCAATCCTTCCTCAACTCATCCAGACCAAGGATGCCAGGCGGGATCCTCCCACGCGGTTTAGGGTTTAGGCAGGGTTTCAGTTTTAGGGGTTTAGGGTTTTAAGGGTTTAAGGTTTTAGGGGGTTAGGGGTTCAGGGTTTAGCGGTTTAGGGTTTAGGATTGCCGCTGCTTCTTGCACGACACGTCGTATTACTATTCAATTTAATAGTTTCCCTAAATAGGGGACCCAATGTAGAATGTAGACCCCAATATACTATGACCCTATCATAGGGACCCCTAAACCTTCAAAGGATACTCCTAGTTTTGGGAAATCCCATTTCTGTCGTATGAATCTCTTAGTAGTCTGTAGCAGCACTGTAGCAGTCATGATTGTAGTTTAAGCCACTACACTAGTGTGGGGTGGTGGTGGCGGTGGCAGCGGTGCTGGGCTTGTATCATCAGCACTCTTCCGGTTTTGGTTCTGGCCCCTCTTGCTACTACAGTGCTCATTGCTCATACTGTAGCGGGAGTGCCAGTCCTGTTGTTGCCCATATTCTCCTGCTATGACTCTCCTCTGCCTCTTCCCCAAACACCCAATAAATAATCCTTAGCCCAAGACATCCTCAGCCCTAAACCTTAAACAGCCCTGAACCCAAAAAACTCAAACCGCATTCATTTACCCGGAACCCCAAACCTCAAACCCTAGAGCTGGAACCCCAAACCTGAAACTTAGAATCGCAATCCAGGCCCAGTCCAGGGGGCACCGGGAAGCTGAAGCCACTGCTGTGCATGGAAGCGCCCGCATCGTGGCGAACACGGCGAAGCGTTGGGAGCTGCGCTGCGTGGCCGCAGCTCCTGCTGACACTGCAGAAGTCGGTAGACTTTTAAGCCTGCAGTCGGTAGACTTTTAAGGCTGCAGGTATAGTCCCCCTTAAGTAAATAGAATATGCCTTTGGGTATATTATAAAAAGATTCCCATATACCCCATACTCTATCTACTTAAGGGGGACGGTAGCCTTGGGCATCAGGGTTCCACATCACCCCATGCAGATTCCTGCATACCCTTTAGGGTCGCAAAGGGGACCCATTTCTTGAGAAGCTCCTAAAAAATCTGAAGCCCTGTACTTAGCCCTACAACCACCTTTACAACTTTATGATACCTAAGTTCCCCCCCGCTTTGAGTCCCGAAACCCTAAACCCTAGACCCCAACTTTCTCCCCAAACCCTAAATCCTAATCGTAAAACCCCATCCATGAACCCTAAACCGCGAAAAGGGAGATCCACCTGACCATTGAGCTTCTGCAGAGCTTCTTTGAGATCGTCCAGCTGCTTCTCTGTCTTATCAATCCGATCCTAGGGGGTCTAGGGTTTAGATCTGTCTACCCTAAACCCTGAACCCTAGGGTTTAGGATTGTCAACCCTAAACCCTAAACTCTTCAGGTCTCCGTAGTTAGATCCCATTCTGAGTGGAAACGCTGCTGGCTCGCGGACTTCAGATTGAAGAATTTGGGCTTTGGCCACTGTTCAAGGCTCGCTTGTAACTTCGCGGCTTGAGGTTTTGAGGGTTGAGGGTTTAGGATTGACGGTTTAGGGTAAGTACTTGCTCTACTTGAATGGATTTAGGGTACTGACTGACTGGTTTGGGAATTTGGAAAAGTTAATGGAAACTATTTAGGGTTTAGGGTTTTACCCTAAGGCTCCAAGTTATGTTGGTGGCCAGAAGCAGCAGCAGGAGTGCGGCAGCAGCGAGCAGCAGCCGCAGCAGCAATAGAAAAAACAGCAGATGCAGCAGTAACAAGTGTGCAGTCAGAAGGCAACTGCTTCTTGCTGCTTCTGCTGAATGTTGTTGAGGACCTGGGCCACACTGAAGTCGATGGACACCTTCAAAAGCATGCGGCGCTTTCAAAGGTCCACTGAAGCCGCTTCCCTCCCCAAGCTTGGCATGTGACGTCGCTTCTACATGACAAGGAGCTGTTATATAGGGATAACATAGGATAATACAGGGCGATATAGGGAAAATGGAAAGAAAATGGAAACTACTACATTACAATAGGGTGTGTATGTTATCTAGAATTGTAGTCATAAATTGCTTGTCTATCACCCTAAACCCTAAACCCTTAAACCGTATCACTTCGGCTTAGCACCACCTAGCCCTTCTCTAGCCTTCTGATCTTTTATGGCCGTCAGGATCGCTGACAGGTCGCCCTCTGGCTGCCCAACCTGTCCCATGAGGGTCTCTCTAGATGGGGTTTAGGGTTTAGGGTTTAGGGTTTCTCTAGATGGGTTTAGGGGTAAGGGGAACCCCAACAATCCTATGACTATTTAGGGATCAAACAACGATTATGGGGTCCGCTAAAGGACTATGTAAGGACGATTGGTCCAATGCACCAATGAATGCTATAGGGGTATGCGTAACATTGCCCCCACAAACCCATTTGTAGCTATGGTGGCAAACAAACAAACACCCTGCTGCACTTAAAGTCAAAAATCCGAAATATGGGATGTCATCTCAGGAAAGCAAACACACGCACACCCAAACTTCCGTTTCTCCAGTGAAATTCCTGAGGGAAGCCCTGTGATGTTTTTTCCCTACTTTAGATTCGATAACCCCAACTTTGTTTCTCGCTCTGTCCCTCTCAGGCCTTGCGCAGTTCATTGGCTGGATTGGCCGTTAGCCTTCTAGAGGGAGACCGGGACACATCCAACGGCGCCTGCCATCAGCCAGAATCTTCTTGATTGGGTTTGAGCAGAGGGTTCAGTGTTTTCCATTTTAGGGTCCAATGCGAGCCCGATCGAAGGCTGTTCAGGGCCATCGGCACCCTTTTGCTCTTGACATGCATTCGATGAAACATTGGACCTTGTTGCCGGAACGGGTGCCTCCGAACGCGAAAAGAAGTGAGCCCTAAACCCTCCAGCCCCAAATCTTCAAACCCTCAACTGCTGCGAGTACAGAAACATCAGCAAGCCCTCACCCAGTTTCCATTTCATGTTCCATCTTCGTTTCCATTTGATTCTCCGTTATTGGGCCCCTATATATCCCTATATAACCCCAATATAACATCCAAACCGCTATGTGAGCTATAGTCTAAACTCCTAGTATCCCCCTTAACAAGCCCTATAGTAGTCCCCTATGTAAACCCCTGTATAACCCCCTTTAAGGAGTTTAGACTATAGCTCATGTAAGCTTATCAGGCCCTTCCGCAACAAGAAGGTTTGCAAGTGCCTGAGCCCGGATGAGGCTCCTCATGTCTTCCAACTGCAGCAAGATGTCCTGCTTGCTGTCGTTGACCTGGGTATTATATTATACTAAAATGAATTAAAATATACTATAATATTTCATAATACACTATATTCTCCCAAAAAAATACTATAATATATCATTTTGGCTTGGAAGTTTCGGTTTGATTGCGCGGGATGGAATTAACTTGATGTCACGAATAGCGACGACAATGGTGCCATGCATGTGTGATCTTAAGAGATCACACTCATCACGCTTCGCAAGAGCCCGGTTAGCCGTAGTTTCCGTCTTGTTAGGTTTACTGTAGTCTCCTTTAACCTATAGTACAAATATTATTGTTAATAATTGTTTAGGGTTATACTATAACACAAATTGAAAATAATTTCTAAGGACACTACAATTTAGAAGCCTTTTCGGATTTCATAAGAACCTTGAAGTCAACCCAATGCTCGCCCAGTGACAAGCGAGCGCATGGTTGGAAGGTCAACATCAGACTGCTTGTCTTGGATTGCAGTGAGTACAGCAGAAAACTCATAAGATAGGTCCACTTGACCGGGAATGGCCTTGACGGCATCCAGCACTTCGGTGAGGTCCAGGATTGGAGGTCCTGCTGTGCGACCTCCTTCCCTCACAGCTGCCAAGATCTGCGTGATGTCCGTATCTTCTACAGCCGACCTTTGCCCTCTGGACGCCAATCCCAGCTCCAGTTGCTGCAGCTGCTGCTGCATAGACTTAAGCTTACTTGTCACCTGGCCACCTTGCTCCGACATCGCAACCTTGGTTTCTGACAGCTGCTCCCTGATTGCGAGAATCACAGCAGAGAAGTCCAAGCGCTGCAGAAAATCTTGCAGCAGCTGCTGGATTGCACCAGTTTGGTGGCCAAGTTTGTCAGATAGCATGTCAGAGACAACCTCATGGGACTCCCAAGACCTCAGCTCACACAAAGCCGCTCTTTAGAAAGGGTTAGAATAGGGTTTTATTGGGGTTATATAGGGATGATGGAAAAGACACTGGAAACTAATATATTATATTGGGATTATATAGGGGTTATAATAGGGTTACATTGGGGTTATATTGGGATAGTGGAAAAGACAAGGGAAACTGCTTTAGCTTCCCATGCTCTGGTTCTTACTCATATTGATTTGGTTGACGAGAATCATCGCCTGCGGCCTGTGCTCGCTGTTGTGGTCGTTCGACTCGCCACCTGGACTCGCCTGGGCGAGCTACCGTTGAAACCATAAAAGGTTCAAGCTTATCATTGGCCGACGTCAAAAGGCGTCCGCCGTCCGGAGGTCTTGTCATGGGACCCCGACTCATTGCGCCCCAGCCGGGCATGACTCCAATATAAGATAGTAGTTTCCAGTTTATTCTTCACTATCCAATATAATCCCAATATAACCCCAATATCTCACTATGACCCTAATATTACCCAAAGTTTTGGTTCCATCCAGCTGGAAACCTTCCCAAGGAGAAACCCCCTCCACTTGGCCCTGGAACCCAGCTCCCAGGGCTTGCAGGGCCCAATCTTGCCAACTCCGAAGCACTGGCAAGATTTGGGGGTTACCCAAAATTATGGGTACCTTTCAGGGGTCCCCATATTAAGGACTAAAGTATCTTGGGATCTATGCTGGGGTGCGCCTATTTTGGGATCTACCCAGTTGCTGCCATTGCTACACCAACGCTTCTCTGTGGGCTGAGGCAGCCAGCGCGCCGCATGGATAAGTGCATTGCAACCACATTTAACTCTACGATTCATTCTCATTTGGGACTCTTTTAATGCGGCATTGCCATGCGTAATCCACGTAGAGCTATCAAAATCCGGGGATCCTGTACCCTGTAAGGTAAGCTGCAGTTCAGTAAAATCCCTTCGCAGCAGCCCAGCTGCAGCCAGCTCGGCACGCCAAGAACGAAGTGAGTAGCCGAGGCCCTGATTCAAAACAGACCCTTTGCTACGAACTGTCATATTATTCAAGGGTTTGAGCCTTGCACGCCTAGGGTTGTACCCCTGGTTGTTGGATCCTTTTACGGGACCCTTGGGGACTACGTTGGCTTATATAAAGGCTTCGATACCTAGATCAGGTGTAAGAGTGCATAACAAGTGGAACGCACGCAGAGCACCTCCCTACATAAAAGCTAAACATCCTTACAAAATCCCTAGACAACCCCTATTAACACCCTAAACCCTAAACCATATTCCGTTATTCCTTGCTAACCCCCAGCATACAGCAAGGTGTTGGCCGGCGCTGCCTGGGTGATTTCCTGGGTCTCGCGGAGGCTGTTGAGAACCGGGGTCAAGTCCACACCTCTTAGGGTTTAGGGTTTCAGGGTTTTAGGGTTTTAGGTTTAGAGGTTAGGGTTTTCGGGTTTAGGGTTTTAGGATGTAGGAAGTTCTGTTACTCAATTGTCCAATATCTAGGGCTTTCCCAAGGTTCACCTTTTCGTTCATATGAGCCATTATCTAAACTCCTAATATCCCCCTTTGGTAACCCCTATACTACTACCCTGTGCGGTCCCCCATATGACCCCCCTCCTTTAAGCAGTTTAGACTACATCTCATATATGGGGATTAACCAAAATTAAGGATACCATTCTAGGGGTCTCTATACTAAGGACTATAATATATTTGGGTCTACATTGGGGTTCTCTTGTTTCGGGAAACTACCATATTGGGCCTTCTACGAAAAAATGGTTGAGGGCTAATCATTGGATAGGAAAGGGTGGCATCCGGCCGTGGGCCGCTACCTTTAGGGTTTAGGGTTTAGGCTTTTGGTTAGCTACTTGGAATGAAGGACTGGATCCTTATGTTTAGGGTTTAGGGTTACCCGTTATGGTAGTTTCCATTTTCTTTTCCATTCCTTCTAAACCCTAAACATCTGAACCCCAAACCCCTAAAACCCTAAACCCTAAAACCCCACATTTTGCCGGCTGCCTGGCTGACGCTGTATGGCATTGAGCACTTGCGTGAAACAGCTTTCCAGCTTCTGGTCCTCAGGGTTTAGGGTTTTAGGAGTTTAGGGTTTTAGGGTTTAAAGGTTTAAGGGTTTTAAGGTCTTAGTGTCTAAGGGTCTTACGGTTTTAGGGTTTAGGGTCTTAGGATTCGGGGCTTAGGCTGTTGGGTTTTGGTAGCTTTTTGTAAGCCCAAAACCCTGAACCCTAACCAATAGATGACAGAGAACATCTTAAACCATCCTGGCACTTGAGTAGCGTTTTTATGGTGGTTAAACCCAGTAAGATAATATTCCTTATATAAAATACTATACCCCAAAAGGAGGATAGAATCTTACTCTATAATGGGTACCATAGTACCCCCAAATAAATAGTACCCTAAACCCTAAACCCTACTACTATATAATCCCAGCTTCCATTTCATTTTCCATGTTCCTTTCCATTTGATTCTCCATTATAGGGGTAATATTAGCCTGATGTATCCTCAATTGAGCAGAGGCTCCTTGATGGCTTGGAGCACCTCCGAGTGATCGGCCTGCACTTGGACATCCTCCAGTGGGGTCCCCCTCTTTTGGGAAACTACCATATGGGGGTTCTGCTGGGATAATGGAAAAGCAAATGAAAATTACTATATCAGGGGTAAGTAGTCCAACAGACTTTATCTTACACATGCCTGCCTGAAAATCTTACAACATGGTGGCCAGAAGCCAAATCTTGCAACTCACAGGATGTCATCAGCAGACGGGAATTTGCACAGGCAGCCCGTGTCCTTCAAGCGTGCAAGGAAGTTGGCTTGGGAATCCTGGGTTGCTGTTAAGGAACTTAATTTAAGTTACCTTAATCCCTATATTCCCCCAGCTTCCATTTCATTTTCCATTGTCTTTTCCATTTGATTCTAAATTATAACCCATTATGGTAACTTAATTCCCTAAACCCTGAACCCTATACCCTAAACCCTATACCCATTATGGTAACTTAATTCCCTAAACCCTGAACCCTATACCCTAAACCCTATACCCATTATGGTAACATACTATAGTGACTTCAACCCAGAATCTTGGAGCTGTGGGATGAAGTCATTGTGCAGCTTCTGGACGTCGCGGAGATGCGCAGAAACCTCTCCGTGAAGATTGTACTTTAGACCCCAAATAGTAGTTTCCATTTTCTTTTCCATTATCCCAATGTAACCCCATATTCTATCTACTTAAGGGGCACTATACCCTAAACCCTAATCCCTAAATGGTAGTTTCCATTTTCTTTTCCATTATCCCAATATAACCCCAATATGACCTAAGCCCTACCTCTCCGGTGAGATCCACCTTGAGGAGCTGCATCTGTTCTTCCAGGAGCTTCGCTGAAGAGGTACGGTCCTTCTCCTGCGAATCCCACATGACCTGCGACTAGGATGGGCTGCGCATGTCGGGTTGACTGTGAAAGCTATGCTTAATGGCAAGCCTGGAACTTCGACAAGAAGTCATGCTTCAGCTTGTGCATCTGCTCCTTGATGACGGTATGGACTGCGGTGCGGTCCGTGTCCTTCTGCTCCTGGAGTGCCTGGCAGCAGAAACTGAAGCCCCGCATTCTTGACTGACATGCCCTGAGCCGGCTCACAAGAGCAGCTGCACTCGCCTCCATTGTGTCTGACATCCTCCTTTCCAGGTCTGTCGTGAGCATGCGTGAGCTCTGCGACTCCATCTGATGGATCTGAAGCGCCTGCGAACATAGACATGCCAAAAAGCAAGGTTGTTTGTTCATTGCACTGGGCATGCAGGAGACTTGCAAGGTGCCAGGAAGGGAAGAGGAAGAAGGAATTCATCCAAGCAAAGGTGGCAGTATGTCCTCGATGGAGCGTAGAAGGGCTGAGTGCTGCTCTTCCAAGTCCTCTTTGGTTATGTGGTGCTTCAAGGCATCCAGCACCTGCCCATTCAGAAACAGCATGATCAGAGACAGCAGTCGAACAAAAAGCAAAAGTGCTTAGAGCCGCAGCCTCAGGAAGCCACCCGAACTTCCATGTTGATCACTTAACAGAAGTTGACTTCTTAAGCAAACCCATTCTTGTCCAGCGAAACTTGGATGCACTCCTCGACAGGTTGGTCTCCCTTACATGGAAGTTATATAACGGTTATATCGTAGTGGTTCAAAATACCTGTCCCAAAAATGGCCATGATGTAGGTTCCCTGTTTTGTTAGGATCCCCTTTTTAAGGAAGTGTATTCCCAATGGTCCGGTCCCTCCTTTACAAGGACCTTTAGAACAACCCCCATATGGGAGTTATGTAAGGGTTATACTCGCCTGCGAGACTCCGCTGCGCAACGAAGCCATGTCCGAAGCCTCCGCGCCGGCCGACACGGCCTTCAGCACCTTCAGCTTTGAGGGTTTCGGATTTAGGGTGTAGTTTCCAATGTCTTTATATGACCACAATATATTATAGTAGTTTCCATTTTCTTTTCCATTATCCCTATAGAACCAAATACTATAGCAGTTTCCATGTTCTTTTCCATTATCCTTATACAACCCCTGCGTTCCATAGTAGTTTTCATTTTCTTTTCAATTATCCCCGAGAATCCCTATACAATAACCCCAACATTCTATAGTATTTGCATTTTCTTTTCCATTATCCCTATATATAACTCCAATATAACCCTGTATAACCCCTATTATAATATAGTAGTTTCCATTTTCTTTTCCATTATCCCCATATAACCCTGATATATACCCCCGACATATACCCTATCATCCCTATAACCCCTCTATAACCCCTATCATTCCTGTAATTTCCATTTTCTTTTCCATTATCCCTATATCTTGGTCAAGAGATCTGCAAGCATGGGCGCAGTATCCACTCTCTCGCGGATGACCATCTTCAAGGCCTCGGCGTGCCTGCAAAGGTGCAAGTTGGAGCTCACTGGCTGCATGGGTACACTCCCCCAAACTAACATGGAAACCCATATAGCCCCCTTTTAGAAGGCCTGTAGTCTTGAAAGGGCCCTTTTTGGGTTTCCATGTTGTAGGCTTTGAGCTGCACAGCAAAATTGCTGCGCAAAGTTCAGAAACTATGTAAAGCAGCAGCCTATGCCAGCTGGAGACTGTTTCCTTCAGCTCCTCGTGCATCTGCTCCTGTCCGATGGCCTCCAGAAACTCTCATGGTCAGGCAGTTTCCGTCTCCAATGCATGCCTTAAAGTGGCCAACGCTAGGCTAAAGTCCAGTGCTTGGGTTTCTGAGCATGGTGCCTGGTCTTCCAGCGCATGTCGTAGCGCAGTGTCGTCAAAGGTGAACTGCTTCTCCTGCAGCATGTTGAAGGAATCTTCTGCGGCGAGCCCGCCATCGCACTTCCAAAAAAGGCTGAATTCAATCACTTCGAGGTTCATGGGCAGTTGGGTTGGTGACACTACTCTGCATGGTACTTACCCTACCGAAGCTCCGAGTACGGAACCCTATTGCTCCGAGCCCTGAACCCCGACCATCCTAAATCCCGAAATCAAACTACTATAGAACATTCAGGTTATATAGGGATAATGGAAAAGAAAATGGAAACTACAGGGATTATAGGAGTTATATAGGGGATATAGGGAATATATTGGGGTTATATAGGGATAATGGAAAAGAAAATGGAAACTACAG